ATGCTCAGGTGTTATTGTTTGATTTTTGATATAGGGGTAGATAAATGATTAAAGCTGTTGAAGCAGTCCTCTGTAAGAGAAAGCAAAATGTTATAATGGAGTCCAATCAGACTGGACCCTTGTTACTTATGGAATGCTCAGGTGTTATTGTTTGATTTTTGATATAGGGGTAGATAAATGATTAAAGCTGTTGAAGCAGTCCTCTGTTGCTAGTAGTAAAGCTAATTGAATTTTAAGGTGTATTTTTAGACATGTTGATTTCAAGTCAAAAAGACATAGTTACCTCTATAAATCATTTATTAGAGCTCACTTAGATTGACTTGCTTAAAAAAAAAGGTTTTAATGAGGGTTGCTTGGGTGATTGTGGAGAGGGAAGGTTTGTTTCAAGGATATTATTGAAATTAATGTGATTATGTGGGGTTTGATAGGGAAAAGGCCTCTGTTGTACTGTACTGTATCCTAAAGACAAAAGAATGAAAAGGTATAAGCTTAAGGTAGGATCTAGTTAGGACAATTTTATTTTTTGTCAGATAGCTTATGGAATGAGTTACCATTGGCATTAGTGGAAGTCAGAATTTTATAGCAGTTTAAGAGGGTAATAGATGATTTCATAAAAGAATAAAAAGAGCATTTAAATTTTTTTCTTTTACTCATAAGTGGGTGTGCTAGAACAGCCTTCATGTATGTATCTCAAGCCCAGTATTACATAGATACTCTATTAATTGATTTGAAGTAAGGCATACAAATGAAATATTGTAATGCTGATTACATATTGAAACATTAAATGGCTAGTTGAAACATGTTAATCGTAGAGCTTGTATGACAAAATTCATAAAATATTTGACTCCACTAGTAGTTGTCAGTAATTTTTTAAGTTCACTATTATTATACATTTAAAAATTAGTTTCTGTTTTGATACTTGTGTTAATGTAAATTAGGAGTTAATGCATTTAAGGTTAAATTTTCTTTGCACATTCATAAAAAATAGTTTTAGGAGAGTAATATAAAATATTCATGTTTATCATGTATTTGATTATCAATGTCAATAGCTTTGGCTGGTAACTTAAAACTTTAGAAGTGATAGTGTGGAACCTACCAATAATTTCATTGTATAAATGATACTGTATATTTACTAATATTATTTAGACTGTTCAAAAGATGTTACAGCAGGAAAAGCATACAACAGTTCCATGTTTACAAAGAACATCTTCACATAATACCACCAAAATTTTTTGAGATGATCTAATATTGGTTAGTACAAGTGAATGTGTGTATTATTGAGACAACAATAGTAGCTATAGAAAGAAGGCCATGATGAACTTTTAGGCACCATTCATCAAGTGGAATACATGACTAAATTTTATGTAAATACACTTCAGTTGAAGTATAAATCAAGGATGCCTGGTGTTTGTTAGACTTCTAGTTGTCAGGATGTTAGATTGATGTTTAAAGAAATAATTTCACTGAACATGCTTCTCTCTTTCAGCTCTGGATGTGTTATGAAAATGACAGTCACTTACATTGTTCTGTTCAAAGAGCTGGACAAAACCTTTGTGTGGCAGCATCTGTTGCTAGCTGTCTTCTCTTTTGTTAGTAGTTCAAAATTAGGACTGGATATCCCTATACCCTAGAGGGTTCTGATCTGGCAGTTTAGGTCGTGTGTATGAGGTGCTAGTCATGTTGAAAATTTCAATCCCAACATGTAATGAAATGTTGCATAAATTAAACTCCAGTATTTTTTTGCCTGAGCAACAGCAAAAATAATGACATAAGCATAATTACCAATACTTTTTCAATCAGATTAAGATAATACAAATATGGACAAAAAAAGAATCATTTGGTCCTTCCAGATTGTCTTTGCCCACCCATCATTGATAAAAATGAGATTTTCAACCCACTCTTTATATATTCTATAAGCCAGTTAGTAAAATAAAACTACCTTAGCTGGAGTCTAGTTTGCTTCATCCAAATTTTATTCTTGAGTCATCCTGTACCATTGCATTGAAATTATAGCCCAAAGAAATCACAGGAACTTAATGATCCCCCCAGATAATCTGGTCAGTAAGGTCACCTCTTACCCATCTTCTCTCAGGTAAATAAGAGATCTTAACCTACCCTATAAGGTATGTTTTTTATCCTAGTATCCTATGAACTTTTTGCTATAAATCAATACGTTTGAATAAGGATACAAAGCTACACAGTATTGTAAGTGAGGCCTAACTATTGATTCGTTTACAGATAAACATCTTTTGACTTGTGACCGTAAATACACCTTATAATTCTATAAGCTTTAGTATGATTTATCAAGTGGTTTATCCAATACTATACAAATATTCTTTTCTTCAGCCATGCTTTTGAGTTGATTCCCACGTATATTAGATGTTTGAGACCTAGATTTTGAGAACCGACGGCATTACCATGCAGCTATCCTGAGTAATGGAATTTGCCAAATATTTGACCAAATTACCAAGTCATTCTATAATACCTCAATACAACTGGAAATGCTCGAGTTTCGTGTTATAGGCAACCTTTACACATTTACGTATTGTACCCCTGTCGATATCTATAAGGTAAATAAGAAAAAGTAAAGACTTAAATTAACACTGACTACTACTATTACTCTGACTATTACTCCACCAGTAATACGGGTGTAGTTTAATTATACAACATTAATATGTTTTTTAACGACAAAGACACTGGTATTAAGGTAGTTTAAGATTTATGTTATAAGAAGTGTTTTGG